TGAGTTTTGTTTTTGATTGTGTGATCGAAAAGTAATTAGTCACTGATGATGAAAGAACCAAAAAAAAAAAAACTCTTTAAAAATGAATTAATAAAAATAATTTTCATAAAAAAGCATAAGAAAATGTCGAAAAAAAAAAACCATCAAAAACTCAGCGGAACAGATGGAATTATTACAAAATAATTATGAAAAATTAATAGAGCTTTAAAAATGTCTCTATTTTTATTATTTTTTTTATATACATAAAGCAAAATTTGTTGTAAATTGCATTTTAAATCAATTATACATTATGTATTAATATTGTTATATACGTCATATACCAACACACATTTTAATAAATGGAAAGTTTTTAATAATTTTTTTAAGAAAGAACAATAATTTTAACTATTTTGTCTTAAATTTAAATTAAATAGGTTAAAAGATTTTTTTTTTGTAATTTAAAATGAGCATAAGCAACAATATTACTAAAAACATATTTAACCTAATTTACTTAACATTTAACATTTATGGTAGGTACACAGTGTTTTTTTTTTGGGCTTGTATGAGAGAGAATTAAAAAAGAAAATTTCTTAAACTGTTCTTATGCTTCAATTAATACGATTTCAATCCAATGTATTTTTTAAGTTATGATTTTACACTTTCACTTTTACTCATAATATTATGTTACTCAATAATACAAATCATAATTTCTCACAAAGAAAGAATAATGAACTGAAATAATATTAGAGCATAACAGCAGCAGCAGCAGCAACAGTAAAATATTTGAGTAAATTTTCTAAGTTGTTTTTAATTACTCAATTAATTGATTTTTTTTTTCTGTGCTCTCATTACAAAAGTACTTTTTTATTGTATTGGAGAATATGTTACTTGCTATTGATTTTACCATAACATAATTTACATGTAATATAAATGTAATTTATACATAAATTTTTGATTTAAATTACATTATGCTTTTAAAATTTATTTATGTAGGTGTCTAAATTGCCACAATTTTAAATAATTTTTAATAATAATTTTAATTTTTAATGCTTAATTTATATTGAGCTTTTCATTTTTATGATATTTTTGAATAGTTGAATTGAGCCATTTCCTTATGGTTTTGACGCAACAATAATTGAAAATTTTATTGTTCATATAGTATTGATTTGTAGAATTGATTAAAAATAGGTGATTGATATAAAATTTGAATGTAATTTTAATTCCATAAGTAATCCCAATAATTTTATTATTTATAATTAGCTAATTGTTTTGAATAGAAAACTAGGCCATCTTGTTCAAGTGTTAATGAAATTACTTGTTTTTGGATTGCTTTTAAATAATGTTTCCGATCTCAAATTATATAAATTTAATATTAAACACGAAAGAAGGAATATCAAAATCTGTAGTCTAAAAAGTATTACATTTTCTAAGTCGTACAGTTTATGATTTTTAAGTATGTATATTTATGTTAACTTGCAATATAGCAATTACAATTCAAAAGAATCGAAAGGTTTTAATATAAAAAAATTTAAATTTTTAATTAACAAAATATAAATTATAGAATTTTTGGCATTTCCGGTAAAAAATTTACCCAAAAAGTAAAAGCAACAAGATCCGACCTTATTTCAATTAAATAAAAACATCAAAGAAATAATTTTAAAACTGTCCATTATTGATCATTTTTATTTCGAAATCTTTTCATTTTTTTTTCTCTACACTTGAACAGATCTCTTATTACTCTTAGGCAGAGACATTGTTCCAATATCATTTTGTATATAACCTTCATTCGATTATAATAAGATTGCCCTGTTATGTTATATAAAGTTTTAAACAAGTCATAAACAATGTACACATATGAATACATACATACATACATAATAATTTCCTAGATTTTTCCTTCCATTTTGTGCTATAATTTATTTTCATTGTTTATCGTAAATATTTTAAACCTTTTACTTTTGCAATGCAAAAATATTTTTTCTTTTCTTTTTAGGTTGACAATAATAATACGAAAATTATCATCATCTACTGTCATAGTTCTTTTATATGTACATTTTTCTCTATTTTAATGCCATCACAAGCAGAAAACAAGAAAATTTTTTGCAATAAACATAATATTTTGTGTTTTTGTTTTTTTTTTCAAGTACATTTATGTACATAAAGTAATCATATATGCGTACACATGTGTAAGTACTTAATGTCAAATTGTAATCAAAGATCAAAATTAGCAAAAAAAATATTATATGTATAAGTAAAAGAGGAGAAGAAAAAATTGATTAGGTACTTTGCTTCTTCAGCTCTTTCAAATTTTTATTATTTCTTTTTTTTTATTATATAAGCTTTATACAATTACGCATACAATTTTTTTTATGTCATCTTTAGTTATACATTTTGTTGGACTTCTTCCTACCTGTACTTGTGTTATGACTCTTCTATACGATTAACATGTTCGTATGCATATAATATGAGTACGTGTGTATGCCACCATATTACAATTTTATTTATTTTTTATATTTCGAAATTATTATGTCATGTTCATAGGTACCTAAAAATTGTATGATTCACAAAAAAAAAAAGAATATTATAAGCGGTAAAATTAACAAGTAGTTTTTATATAGAGGACATTTATTTTTATTATATAATATGGTCATAATATACGGTAGGGTAAGGTATATCTCAATGAAATTGGTTAGGTTAAGTTAAGTAAATATTTTTGATATAAAATATTTATTCAAAATACACTTACATAATTTTTAACTTTTGTATATTCATCGCAAATGTACGCATAAGTTTGGCATATAAATTCTAGAAAAATTATATGCGAGTACATTATGACATAATGAAATATGTATACATGCATATAAGATTATATTTAATCAGTTTTGAAGTTAATTTTTTCGCATTTCATGAATAAAAAATTATTTAAAATATAAAAAATTATAATCATTATCTTTTTTTTTTTAATACGCACGTATGTAATTTGTTGAACAGCCTACAAATTTTATGTATGATGTTAATTTTATTCCAACATATTAAGCAAATACATGGTATAAAACGCATCTAATGACCCCCTTATTAATTTAAATTTATTACTTTAGTAAAAGTTATATAAGATGCTGAATATTATGAGAAATAATGTTTTAATTATTCATTTAATATTAAAGTTTATACGTGGGATACAAACTAACAATTACAGATTAACATTATTCCAAAGGTCACACTATTCTGACATTTGAGAAATAAAAGTTATGCAATTTATTAAAAAAAATAATGTTTAGAATCAAAAATGCGTTGAAGAAGGAGTTCAAATTTCAAATATAATAAAGTAATCCGAATTAAAGCAGCAGGTATTATTAAAAGGCATGTTATACAATTCATAATTCTCATATACTAAAATATTCGAATATGTAGACGAATCACTGTGTGCGTAAACATTATCCGCTTGTTATTAAAAATTAATTTCGAAAAAGTAATTTAAACGAAAGTGAAAGCAACAAGAATTTCAAATGTTTTGTTGAATTAAATTCACTATAAAGTAATCGCCTTTAGGAAATTATCAAATTTCTATAGTTTAGGTTTCCCCCATTTTCCCCCATAAAATCAAAATATAGAAATTTCGAATATAAGAAATGGAATTAAATAAAAATTTTTTAGAATATCTAAATCGTTATAAAGAAGCTTAATGTCATAGTTGCTAGAGGTTTGAGTAAGGAGAATTTGACGTTTCGATATAAGAGGTTATCGCAATACGATATTAAAATTTATAATTTATTTTCAATTGCAAAATGTTCTCATAATCTCTTAACTGATTCCATTTCTACTTTTTGAATAAAATTATTGTTAAAAATTTGTTTTGAATTTAAAATTAGTATGAATTTTAAAAAACTTATATAATAGCTTACGTAATACGTGAATAATTGCAAAATATCGTAAAAGTTTAATGCATTCATAATTTAGCAATACACTTTGTAAATTAATACTATTTTAATTCGCAAAAATTTTTCATAATAATATTTTTTAATTGCAAAATTATAATTTATTTATTCGACCTTTTCAAAACTATAATACTTATACAAAAAAAAAAAAGTAAAGCATACAATATACGGGATGATATCATACGATCATACCATGTACTTTTCTGCAATTAAAATATAGACAAAAAAAAAAAACTATTTTCTAGGCAAATTTTATTACCATTTTTAGTTGACAATTTTAGTTAGTTAGTACTTATTTTCTTTTAACAAAATTTTATTTACACTTGTATGAATTTTATTTAAATTAAATTATGTAATTGTATCATATATGAACAACCTGAATAATAATTGCTAATTATAAATCTTGTTTTCTAAGAATGATTATAAAATTTTTTTGTAATTATAAAATTAAAGGGAAAAAATAAATTAATTTGTAACATGCTAAAATTTATTTTACTAGTTTAACAATTATTATTCGTGTATTTTTTTTATGGAAATTTAAATTTGATAGCAATTTTAAGAGCAAATGAAACATTTTTAATTGCTGAATATTATTTGTGTATGAGTTTATATTAATATGAATTTGGCTGAGAAATATATAAAATGACTGATTTAGTAATCTAAATCGTGTTTTAATTTTGTGTTTAACACATTTTGCAAGGGTAGCAGCTGTCTTGAATAGTGATTGTTGAATATGAGTATATTACTATCGTAATTGTATATTCTCTTCAAAATTTTCTCTTTGTAATCAATATTTTCATTTTGGAGTTAGAATTAGAAGTGTTATGGATAATTTCTCTTGAGAGAATTTCAATTCGTTTTGTATGGGCATCGATAGTAAGAGCACATTTTAATTACTAATAAACGCTTTTGAAGATTTTTTTATACAGAGAATAGTGGGAACTTTTTTTATTAGAATATTGAAAATTTTTCTCAGTGTTAATAAAATAAAGTAAATTTTTATATTTTAAATTCGAAATTATTTAAAATGCAATAAAATTTTAATATTAATTTTAATTATTTTTTTTTTCTTCTTTCTCTTTACAGGTGAGTCCAAAAATTTACATTCTTGTACATATACAATTTAACAAAATTTCAAGTAAGACTTTTGAAACTACAATGTAACCGTATAGTTGATAATTAACATTTTACTTTCAATATTTTATTTTAAACATTTGTATACAAAATCTCAACTTTGATTATCTCACTCTCTGTTGTTTTCTTTACTTTGTATAGGTGAAAAAGTCAATATGTTAAATAAAATTGCGATATACATAAATTATATTAATAGTATGTGTTATAAAAACAAAACATATGTTAATAAGTGCAACATGTTTTTCAAAATAAAAAAAAAAGCAGATAGTGAGAGAGAGAGTAAAAAAATACACCATATGAAGAAGCAGATTTCAGACATTTAATTTCATTAATTGACACTTTTATCTTGTTTCAAAGTTGTTTTAACATAAAATGTCAATTGTAATTAACACGAAACATTACAATTTGTGTTCATTTCTATAAATCACTAGAGAGAATTATAAAAAAAAATTAATTTTTAAAATGTTATACTATACGCATATACACCTTGCATATTTAATTCAGACCAGTAATGTTAAAATGTTTGAGTATAAAAGCATAAGTGTACTCATTTAAAATCCATATTGCATACAGAAAAAGAATCTTGCAATTGATAAATTTTTGATATCAATTAAAAATTTGGAAAATTTACACGTTGAATGCCTTGATTTTTAGTATTCTACCATCTACACACACTAATGATTGATTAAGGTAATTCGGTAAAGTAAATCAATAAAATAAGCGATAAACCAATGATTGGTGTTAATTGTAATCTAGGCAACTGTTCATATAGAACTACGTCTAAATTAAAATATTATTAAATAATATTAAAATGAGTTCAGTAGATTTACGTATAATGCAATTCCGAACTAAGTAGTTCTCTAACAAATACAGTTTTTTAATCTATGTACAGGCACGGTTCTAATTTGTTCGGCACTCTACGTGACTTCCCAAAAAGTATGCCCCCTCACTTTCAAAGCAATAAACAATATACAATAAACATCGCATATTGGGCATAGTAATTGCACCCCTGTCTTCCGGTGTTTATTCTGTATGCTTACTTTGCATATACATATGGTTGATCCGGCGCTGTATATGTATATACAAGAAGATTTTAAAAGAATTAATAAATCTTCAAAAAAATATATTCCAGCTAATTTTCTCAATAATTTTTACAATTTAAAAAAAAAATGCATACTTTTGGGGGTATTGGTAATATAGTAGCAACGAGCACGTATAGAAATCTAAATCTAATAGTGTTGTATTTTATTTAATTTTGAAAGTTTTGTAATTAACTGAATTTTAATTAGTATCACAGCATATCACACTTGTTCACAAATTCTTTTTTAACAAAAAATCAATTGTCAATATTTATTATTTCTCATGCATACATACAAACATATATAATATAATTTTTTTTTTTGCGTTTGCTAATTTATGAAAACCAATAACAGTAAAAATAACAATATTAATTGAATTTTCCTCCATTTTTGTCACATACGCACACACAATATAAATCATATATGAAGCTCATTACAATTTTAACGCAACTTTATTATTAAAATATGTGCATAGTTTTTGTTTTGTTTGTTTTCTTTGTCCTCTTTGAAAATGACGGAAAAGTTTTGAATTAAAATGGAGAAATAATTTATAAATATTACACAAATAATTTTTTTTCTTCTAATTTTTTTAAAAGATGACAGAAGCTTACACTTAAGATTTTTGTTTAAAGAAAAAAACAAAAGTGTTGTCACCTTGTTCATCAAAAGAAAAAAAATTACATTTATTTAAAAATGCACATAAATTACGAGAAGAAACATTGTGTACTAAAAAAAAAAATATTTTTCCAATTTCCTTTAACAAAAAATTATTGAAAATTAAAATCAATTCGAATTAAAAAGACCACATTTTTATTCGATATAAAGGATAAAACAAAAAACCAACCATAATATTTTTTAAAAACTTTTCCTGGTTCATTTCAGTATTAATTTGTTATTTGTCGCGATTTCCTAACATAAAATATTACGGAGTATTTAGAAAAGTCTCTCTATAGGTCGCACATCAAAAAATAATGACAGATTCTTAAAATCTGTTCTAAATATTAAGAAAACCAAAAATCCGATTATGCTAACTGCTAAGCATATTATTTTTTTTTCACCACGCTTACTTTTTGAATTCATTTACTTTGTCTTTGCACAAGAACGAAATAATGATTTTTAAAATGTTTATGAAAATTTTCTTTTTTAATAAAAGCTCTCATTCTGTTATCCTTTTTAACAGATTTTTTTTTTTTGTTTTTTATTAAATCGTAGAAAAGGAATTCATTCCTTTGAATTTCTATTTTTATTAAAAGAATTTTTACGCTTGTTTTAACATAATGAAATATTTTAATTAATTTTTTTATGTCAAGGTCAAAATTTCAATTTACGATTGCATATCTTTGCTATTATGATTATTGGGTGTTCTTTTGATTAAAAATTCAAAAATCCTAAAGTAATTTAATGTTTTGGATTATTTTGAATTTTAAATACATAATTTGAATTATAAAAGAGAAACAAAATGCATTTTCTCTTTGATTCTTTGTGTTGTGAACACAAAATGAAATTAGCTTCAGTAATAATTTGAATCGACATTTAACAGTAATAAGAGTAAGAGAAAATTGTGGCTAATTGTGTAGAATGTTTCTTGTTTTATTTTTTCATTTATAATATTATTTGTTATATTGTAGGTTATTATGATAAATTCTGAAAATCTATATGAATTTGAAATATTCAGAATTGAGATTGAAAAATAGCCTGTGTTACATTTACATTAAAAAAAACTTATTTGATATATGAAGACTCCTATGGATTTTAGAAAATTCTGCGATACAAAATTAAAATTTTGCTAAATTTTTTAAATGAGCAATACCAGCGCACTGTTTCTATTTTAAAAATTTAGAGAAGAGAGAGAAATTTATTGTTTAACATTTAAATGTTAGCAACTACTTCTCAATTACATTTTTTCTAAGGCTCGATATAATTTACGCGACTGTTATACATTCCTAAAAAGAACATTATCAATAACAGAACGATTAATCATTATTATTATTATTATTATTATTATTATTACTTATTATTTTCGAAAGTATAAATACATAGTTTAAAGAATTAATTCGAACATGCGTGCACTCTCATCCTTCACATCACTATACCACGCCTTTCTTAATATATGCACAATAAAAGAAATGTTTCAAAAAAAAAAAAAAATATTTTAAATTCGTAATTACATAGAAATTTTTTATTCATTCGAAAATAATTAAAAGTAAATATTATTTTACATCAAAGCATCAAATGATATTGGCAGAGAAAAGTAAAAAAAAAACAAATTTCTGAATAATTTTCCCTTTTTTTTTCAAAAAGAAAAATAGATTCTATTTTTTCACATTTTATTTGTTATTTCGAAAGAATTTTCTTTTACCATTAGAATTTTTCAACATTGTAGTTATATTGTAGTAGACTATTGCGGTTGCTATGATTTTCTACAATCGTGTTCTCAATTTTATTGGTTAAATTATGAAAAAAAGAAAATTAAAAGCTATCAAAACATGTGTGTGTGTGTGTTTATATTACTCTCTTAACATTAATGTTTAAAATCGATTCTATATTATTACTAAATTATCAATACCATATTTGTATTGTTGTCGCCGCCAACAATATTACATTTTTTCTTATAAAAAAAAAAAACTTCTTTTTAAACATTCACTGTAAATTTTTATACCTTGCATGAAATACTTATACGATAATACAAAAAAAAAATAAAAAGAGAGAAAAAAAACAAAATAATATAAACGATCGAATAATTGCTATGATAGGAAAAAGAGAATTTAAATGTAGGAAGACATCATGTCGCATGTAGCAATTTTCTGTTTGACTCAAACAAGAAAATAAAATCAAAATGTTTAAATTAAATAAAAAGCAAATTTTCATTTTTGTTTTGTTTTTTCGTTTTTTTTCTAAGCAATTTATATGTTTTTACTTACTTGCATGCTGTCTTTTTTTTTTTTGATATTAATTCTTAAAGAATTTTCTTGTCAACTAGCAAGCATGTCAGTCAAACAAGTTTTAATCAAAAAAAAAAAAAAAATTAATAATATTTTTATATAAAAAGGTAGGGTGATGACGGCAGCAACGACACAATACAATACAATGCGACGCGACGGTGGGAAGTTGAATTCACTGTTTTACTCTCTCTCTCTCTCTTAATTTATTTTATATTAGAATTTTAGAATAGAAGAAGAAGATCTTTGAAAAAACATTTATTGAAATAAAAAATTGAAAGCAGAATAAGTAAATTTAACAACGCTTTAAAAAAAAATTATTAAAAGAACAAAACCAACGAAAACGAAAAGAAAAATGTCAATTTGAGGAACGTTTTTGTGAGAAAGAAACAAGACGATTACAAAATCTTGATGATGTTTGTGAATTGAATTGAAAAATGATTAAAAAAAAATTTAATAAAAAGCCTCGTTTTTTTTGTTTTGTTCCTATTTTTATTTTTATGCCTTTTTATTTCACGTTTCGCGGTTAAATATTATGAAAGACTTAATTATGATTTGGTTGCGTTTAAAGTTAAGAAATTTTTTTTGTTGTTTTCTTCTTTTTAATCGGAAGTGAGATTTTTAATGGTTCTATAAATACATATTCATTTTGTTCTTTAATATTTTATTAAATTGAAAAAGTTAAATAAAAAAAAATTAAGTATAGAAAAATGTTCAAGAGAAATTCAGAGGAAAATGACGCGTCAGAATCAATTAACGTTCTATTTGTGTGATTAATGATAAAATTTCGAAAAATCAAAAAAAAAAAAATTTCTCTCTCTTTAAAAAAAAAAGCCATTTTTTTTTTGGTTCAAATTCTAAAAAAAATTTTCCTTTTTCGGTATTTATTTTTAGAAAAAAGAAGAAGATTAAGTAATTGGTATAAAAAATAAGGTTTTATTAAAAGAGTTTAAAATTAAAAATAGTCATAAGAAAAAGAGAGAGAGCAGCGGAAGAAATATACAGAACAGAGGTGAATGAAGTATTGAGTGATGTAATTTTAATTTTGTGAGAATTAAGTATTTAACAGAAAAATGTGAATTTAACTGTTATAAGTTTAAGATCAAAGAAACGTTTTCATATGAGAAACGAAAAGTATTTAAAGAGTTTTCTTGTTATTCAAAGAGTCAATTAGGAGTTGAGATTTTTATTTTTGTGTGATAATAATTGGATTGAATTGTTGTAATGACTTATAAAAAAAGGTGCTGAGCATATATGTACATACGAGTATTTACATATTAGCAGGTGATTGAATTAATTTAACAATTTTAAAATGTTAATCGATTGCTTAAGTATATAATTTTTGAGAATTTTCGAACGCATATTGAAAAATTAATTTTCATATATCTAAATTAAATAACAATTAATTGTTTAGTTTGAATGGAATTATTAATTGCAATGGCAAATTTATTATGTATTTAGAATTATTATTATAATTCATATTTTTATTAGATTGTAAAAATAATTAATTCTTGTTCACAATATTTTATTTTCTAATTGAAAGTTCAGTGATTATTCCATGACGACAGCAAAAAAACTTTGAATAAAACTTTAATTACCAATTTAATATTCTTCTTGTTCTTGCAAACCAAACAAAAATTATTCTATTTTTATCCTTCCGTTTTATAAATTTCCTTTTTAGTATTACAAAATTTCCTTGACTACAATTTTTTTTTTTTTTGGAAATCATTCAAAACTAATATGTTAATCCAATTTAATTTTAAAATATTCAATTAATTGATATTTTTTTTA